ATTTGTACACCATAACGTTTATGTGGCTTAATTGTGTGAGCACAAGTGTACTTCGAGTCTTGCAAAAAATGGTTTTCAGATTAAAGTGTCCAAAAAATCTCCAGATCTGAATCTAATCAAAAACTTACGGACATTTGTTAAGAAAAATATTGCACCTGCTAAAACGAAAAATAAAGAATTCTAAGGGAAGGTACAAAGGTTTTTTATTCTGGTCCGTGAGTTGATGAATAGGAGCAGTAACTAATAAACCCGACTTTTTGCGTCAATATATGATAACGGATGAAACATGGCTCCATCAATTCAGCCCGCTCTAAAGCGTGGAAAAACGCAACAGTCGACTGGCAAGGTCTGCATTTTAGGATGCGCATGGAATAATAACGTTGAAAAAGAAAGTACCTACAACACAGAATTTTACTATACTTGTACATGGCGTTAATGGACCGAAATCACCGAAAAACGGCGGTATTGAAGTAAAATAAAGAGCTGTTACATTGAGACAATTTCATATGTCGGAACCGCCGCTATCGGACCCTTATAGCATGCAAAAGTTACACAAACTGACCGGTCAAACTCAAGTTTCTGTACGGAGAACTTTTTCATTTGACGAAGCATATTCACAAAATTCCTGAATTATTGAAATCGGGTAAAAACTTGACCTAGACTCTATATAATTTATATCAGATGGTTTTTTTTTTTTGTTTGCCATGTAGCTTTCTTCTCATATTTCTATCTCACATTGTAAAAATGGGCGAAATTGAACTACAACCAAGCCTACTTCTATATACATAACCCAATTTTATTTCTACTTGATTCTTTCACTTGCCAATACACAAATCAAGAAGTAAATAATATAACGGAATACAATTTTGCAGTAATAATTTTATTAAAGTATGGCAGGAGGTGGCAATAAAAATTGTCCAAATCCAACGAAAACTGTTCAAGCCCCTAGATACCGAATATTTATATTCTATATTAACAGTATCTATAGTTGACTGAACTTTCCGGACAATACTATAGGGTTTGTCTGGAAAGTAATAGGACTGAGTTGATTTACAAAAATTTATTGAACCATTCGTTACAAATCTTTAGACACTTTCAAACTATCCTTCTTCTAAGTCGATGCAGCGCTGCCAGTGCCTGACTTTACTCCATATGATTGCTGATTGAATGCGAGGTACCTTAATGAAACCCTGGGAACATTTTTTTAGTATGTGGCACGATAATAGTTTATAGATGAAAGTGGACACTACTCCCACTCACCTACATATATTACAAAACATACATACATATGTACATATGTATAATGATTTTCGTTGTTCTAACATACATTAGCCTGAATATGTCGGTTCACTCTCAATAACTGTTACTATATTATCGTGCGATTCTGTTATGTGATATAGTCTCAAGTCTCTAAATTTGAGATTTTAAGTTAGAGACAATTTTTCAGACTTGAGACGATTTTGCGATTCTATGACAGTCACAAAATCTATTACATTTCATTATGCAGGTATGTTTTTACACTTGAATGAAAATAAATGTGTCGAAAACAAATATTAAATTTTCACATAGTCAAAAAACATAATTATCAATAAAAATAAAAATATATGTTGACTTTGTTTCATAATATTTGCAAAATTTATGTAAAATTTATTTATTATTAACCTTTTCGTGTTTGAGTTGCTATCAAAATATAAATATCAGTATATTCAAAATGGCAGACAAGAGCTGTTTTTAGGTTTGTGAACTGCTAACTACCAGGTCTCAAATTTGAGGCAATATTTTGAGACTAACGCTAGATACTGTTTAGTGAGTAGTAACTATTCACAAATTGAGATTTTACCTCAAAATGTCTCAAATAGAGAGTGGTTACAGAATCCCCTTATTAGTTTCAAAAGGGTTAATATGAATTTATTTTCGATAAATGCCGATAAAGTGAGCAGTAGACCCATAGAGCCATTCTTATTCTGTTTTAAAACAACAACGACAACAAGAATCGGGCCACATATTAAAATGCACCAAGTATGCATTTTGTAAATTTCACTCGGATATCCCAAAAACTGCCAAAACAAATGTTTATGACCCCTAAAAACTTAAAATTCATTGACATAAGGACAGTTTTGAACCCATATACAAGTATTAGTCTCTCAGGCAATGTTGTTCAGAATTATCCGTAGAATACTTTCCGCATACAGGATTTTCTATAAAAAAAATCGACCCGCTCTAATGTACATACATACATATTTGCGTCTATACATTTGCTTTTAGAGAAAGGGATAGTGCTCGCTTAAAAAATAGTCCAATGTAAGGTTCCTTGATAGTTTTGAATTATAACAATATCAATCAATACCACCCATAAGGGAAGCTGTCTCAATTAGTTTTATATTAATCGTAATACACGGTGCAAAATGCTGGCAACTGGTATTCATACATATAAAATATCAGCTGGAGCGTAAAAGTGAAGCGCAACAATACTTACATATGTAATTATGTAYGTATGTATGTATGTATGTATGTATGTATGTATGTATGTATGTATGTATATATGTATGTATGTATGTATGTATGTATGTATGTATGTATGTATGTATGTATATATGTATGTATGTATGTATGTATGTATGTATGTATGTATGTATGTATGTATGTATATAAATACACGTCCGGCATGGAATTGTAAAGCTTTATTTATATATTCGAATGTTTACAAACATAGCACTTATAAGTTTACATATATAATGTATTTTACTGGTGGGCTCTCCACACCTCCACTCCTTTTGCGCACTTAGGATTGATAGGTGCCTATGAAAGTGCCGCACATGGGGCAAAAATGATTCGCATTTCGACATGAGTTCATGCAGTACGGCAAACAGCAACAACAACTGTAAAAAAAAATATTTACATAACAATTACATACATGCGTATACATATGTATGTATATTTAATACGTATGTACTTAGGCACAAGCGTAAGTACTGCAATAAGTTTCTTACCAAGTCCACGAAAGCAGTATGCAAGCCAAATGCGTTTTTGTGGTCGAACGATATCGAACATTCGTCTTCACGGTGCATTTACATTGGGGACAGCGTAATTGTGTAGATTCTGGCCCCACCGGTGGATTTGGATTTATTGGTATTGTCGAAAAGTTAGGCAACTGAGGCTCACCTATCAACTGTACACCGCTGCCGCTGGGCTGCGCTGAACTCACATCGTCAGCGTGCGCCATGTAGGCCGGTGGCGGTGCCGTTGCATTGCTCATCTCGTCTGACAATCCAAGTTTTACGCCAGCATACGGATGCTTACTATTGACCATATTCGAATTAAATTTTTTGTATAGCACTTTAAACACACAGAATATATAATTATACAGAAGAAGCGACGTCAACCAACTGTCGCAAGAGAAGTACCGATCAGAACTGAAGCGCTGCGCTGATTTCGCCTTCGTTCCAGTGAAGCGCGCTAACGGATCTTTCGTGAGTTTCGTGTTGGCTTGTTGTTTGGGTAGCGCTGCTTGCATGGCTCAAATATAAACACACACTTGCATGAGCTATATACTTACATATCTACTTATGTAGTTTGTCGTACACATATGTTTGTATGTATGTAAGTGGATTGCATATTTCTGTATAATCACTATACTTTATTATTATTCTACTATAAGTCGGCTATTACACGAAGCAACTTTCGTTGCGGCAACTCTTGGTTTATAGGCGAGGGGGCGACGAGGAGAGAAGAATCGCGCCGAGTTTGTGTTCTTATTCGTAACAGTTAGCTTCGTCGTTTTTCTGCATTCGTGTTCTTTCTTTCGTAGTACATAGTTGCATTTGGGTATATTATTTTGAAATTAATAGTTTGAATATATTTAAAAAATTTAATTTCATCTTTTGGTACGTAATTTGCAAATAAGTATGTATACAAATTTAGATATTATAATATAAATATTTTAGAAAATGGAGTATGACGAAAAATTCGAATTAATTAAAGATATTGTGAAATGTATGGAGGAAGCCATACAAATTGATTCAGACGATAGTGAAGATCTGTTATATAACCTTTGTTTTAATTTTGAATAATAAATAAAATGTATTTCTTAATTGACAGAACTGATTAATATATGTGATAGAGTGGCCCAAATACCTATAAGGAAAAAGAAACGACAATGGGTTAAAGTAAAGAGCTGACAAGGGTTAAAGTAAAGTGAAAGAGAATGAGAAAAAACCTCGAACAGAGTTGCGCAACACAAGTTGCTCGTGTGAATGCAATGGGCAACAGCAAAAGAGAATCGCCCGAGAATCAGCAACAAAAGTTGCTTCGTGTAATAGCCGACTAATGGAATGTGTTCAACGGAGTATGGTTTTGTTGTTTATTATCGGCAATTTGATTTTGGTATAAGTGCTGCAATTTTTGCAAATTAAAACACTAAGAACAGAGTTGGGGTGGGGGTAGTAAACTTTTAGTGCTTTTTTCTTATAGATACTGAATAAAAGAAATACTGAAATATTTAAAATCTTCGCATTGATGTATTTTACAAAAAGTTAGACTGGTGACTGGACCAGCTTAAATGATTACATGGGTTTACGGGTTTGAAAAAATCGAATTTTGTTATTGCCTTGTTAATTTCTACAACACTTCCAGCATATTGTCCTAAACTTCAAATTGAACTGAGTAATAGTTTCGGAGATACAGCCTTGAGAGCTTGTTTTTTCCGAATAGAATTTCTTTCTTAATAGTGCATATTTGTAACAGTAAAAACTTCTAATAAAATATTTCCATTTTTATATAAGAAAAAATTTGTCGAAAAGCTGTTTTTACCCGAGGAAGCCCATGTAACCGCTTAATAATCTGCCGTTTGGTGAAAGAATTTGTTAAAATTTTTGAAATTAGGCCCAATGTTGTCATAAGTGGAGTTTTAATCAATCTCCAAGTCTCCTTCTGAGCACATTAAGTGTGAGGGCATAAATGTGTTTTGTATAACTACTTCTTCAATTGTTCTAAAATGTTAAGGGTATATTCATATGAATGCATTTTAGAATACACAATCAAATTTAAAAAAATCACAATTTTTCGAGTTACGTGCGATCTACGACGGTGCTAAAAAAAGGTCATCTACAGCTGTAATGATTCCGGTCTTCTTCGTGGATGAAATAATGTAAAATAAAAATTTTCTTTTAGAAGATACTGCCTGCCAAAAAAATCGTTTAAATATTTAATTTTACCCAAAATTTTGTTTAGGTCTGGTAAATCACTTTATGGAAAACTATGTATGTACATATATTCAAAACATGCAGAAAAGTTTTTTAGTGATGTAAGTGAATGAATCTGCTTGAAAAAACTGTAACTCAAAAACTCAAAATCTATTTAAAATATAACCTCAAAATTTTAGTATGTAGTGGTATAACCTATTAAAATATAGAAAAAATATTTTTTTTCCATTTCATACAAGGTGTGTTACTTAATGTCTTTAGAGTCTCATTTCATTCGTAACTTTTTAAACAATTTTAAGATATCGCCATTCTGATCTTCGATTTACCATACTCGGTTGATTATGATGCAATCCATGCAATGAATACTTTTAATATTCAAACTAAAATAAAAAATAGAGCTAAAACGCATTTTTTGGTGCTTTTGGGGAATTAATATTTGGCAATCCTATCTTTGTTTGGCAAAATAATAGCAAATTTCTTGAAATTTGCAAATTTTTTTAATTACTTCTTAGCTTGCGAATTTAAAAAAAGATGCATTATAATAAAATAATTTAAAAAACGAAAACAGTATGATAAGTTTTTTTATTTTATCGACTTTTATATTGTCGAAGCTATGGACATACATACATATGTATGAAGCCATCAGTAGAGGCTCTAATTTCAATTATCGCTGCCGCAACTCACTTTAAACAAATCGCCATTTAGAGGAGTCAGCAAAAATACTTATGTACATATCTACATATGTATGTGTACGTATATGTACATGTATACTTTTAGGATCAGATTTCATGCATATATATGTATGTACATGTTTTATGTATTACATTTCTGCGAAAAACACTAACAGAAAAACAAACAGCTCTACAAAAGCAAAGTTATTTTTGTTGCCTAAAACATGAATGGACATATGTTAAAGTGCCCATACACGACACACAAGTGGGTTCGATCGGTATGTGCGCGAATGCGGTTTACTCGTGTATGGGCTTGTGTGCGTACCGATCCATGTTCGCGAAAATGTTTGATTTTTACGATCGGTGTGCGCACATACATATGTGTCGTGTATGGGCCCTATTACTCATAAAAATAATGAATGTACTCTTGTTTTTTATGATAATTCTATATCTAATATATTGATATCGGTTTGTTAGTAATAAATATTTAGTTTACCCTTTATTAATAGGTTTCTGCGCACTGTACAAACATCGCGTGATCCCCACACTCAGATTCTTTAACGTAAATATCCGAAGAACTACGTATGCGAAAGCAATTACATTTTTTATTTTTTTGTTTAAATCAAACGAAAAAAATCTAGAATTACAGTTCACAAGTTTTTTTGTTTTAATCAAATAAAATTTCATAATACTCAGGAAAAATGATGCTCAAAATACACAACTATCGGTACAGTTTACTATAAAGTTGAAGCAAGGAATTAATACATGGCCAAGCTAACATAGGAATGATAAAAAAATTGTCAAAGCGTTGGACGTTAAATTGTTTGAGTGACATTTGGAATGTTGGAATATCTGATGATCATTAAGATAACTAACCTATTGCCCGATATATGCGGTATAAAATCACCCGGAAGTTCGAAAGTATATTAGGTATATGGGGGCTAAGAGAATAAGCATTTAACTTTTAACACAAATATCAAAAGAAAGAAGTGGTGGGGGAAAGGGGTATAATTTAGTGTATAATCCCTCCTTTTTATTTATTTTGATAAAAAAAAATCCATTTCCACGGACAGCTAGCGTGCACAAATGCCATACAAAAAATTAACGATCTTATAAATATTAGTCTTGGCGAAAACCATATCGAATCCGATTCAGATAAATCGGACAGAGCTTTAGAAGATTTCAGTCTTTGCAGTGATCACCACAATTAGTGCGCACAAATTGGCAATCCAAAGAGGCGAGGAAAGCGCTTCCGATGAGCTATCAGTCTACTTAAAAACGTCAGTTGGTCGGTTAAATAAAAATTCTTTTTAGATTTGGACAGATTTTAAACAGCAATTTCCAAATCTATTTCACAAAGCGTATAAGCATATAACGATTGTCGCGACTTCAGTAGCTTCTGAAAAACCTTTTTCGAAGGCTTCTCAAGTGCTGAACACATAGAGAGCGACACGACATGGCAGCACGACAGTGAACTGTAAATGGCGTCGTGAATCTTTCTACATGAATATTTGTAAGAAGGCAGCGACGTAAGAATCCATTTTCCTTGGGGCCATACTAATACCTTTCACTTCAATGAAATTTTAATATTTTGTTCAAAGTGAAATTTTTTATGGAAAAAATAAGTAAATAGGTAAATTTATTTGTTTTAAGTTATCAATTATTAGTACAAATGAGAGAACAGAGCTATTTTACGCTTTGTAAAATTCCATCAGGTTTGTTGGAGCTTTGAATAATTGTACCTTTTACATACTAATGGCATCACTCCTCTCTACTGTCGTCCTACTGTCGTTGGCAAATATAAGAATATTATCAAGTTAGCGAGAACGACAACTGTCGGCCTGCAGTCGTGTAGTCCTGCAGCTGTCTAAATAGCTGTGTCCATAAGAACGTGTGTATTTTAATATTTGACAGATGTCGCTTGCAGAAAAATAGACTGCAGGCAAAACGTGTAAGCAAAATTATATTTCTACAAAGTTTGGACAAAGAAAAGCTGGGATTTATAAATGCATATACATATTCACCTGAAATGCAAAATAACGTAATAACATTTACGGAAATTTACAGTGGCATGAATGAAACACGAAATAAAATGGAGCATGAGTGAAACAAAATTTTAATATTAGTTAAAACTGCTTTAATCTGACCGCAAAACCTTGAAAATGTTGAACATATACAATATTATGTATGTATGTAATTTAAAGAAGTGAAACGTAATCAATAAGACACTAAATTTCGAATTTTTTGATGATACGTTATTTTGCATTTCAGGTGACAATATGTACATACGTATGTATGTATGTAAAAAAAAAAATACTTTATTGAATATTTTGAATTGAAAGAATCTGTTGGTAATTTTTATCGATGCATCATATCGGAAAAAAACCTTGATTTACATATATATTTTTGACTTGTATCCCTAATTTTGACAGATTTTCTTTACATATGTATTTTATTTATTTCATTCTTATTACATTAAAGTAATCTCAAAAATAGTGTACTAAATTGGTTAATTTATTTCATTTGTTTAGAATATATAAAAGATTATTAACAACAACTTGTTCATACGCAAATTGTAGCACGCAAT